TGTTCTATCGTACCATCTGGAATTTGGCAAAATTCTTAAAAGAGACTACTCTTGTTGTACAATAAGGAGAAAATAATCGTGAAGCGATTGTTGTATTGGATGCATGGAAGTGCTCGGATTTCCTTCGCAAAAACTACCTCCTAAATAGATTGAACAATGCGCTTTATGAAGTGTATTGTTCGAAGGACTCGGCTAAGGATCTATGGGATTCATTGGAGAAGAAATATAAGATTGAGGATGTCGAAATGAAGAAGTTTATTATCAATAAACTTTTTGGACTACAAAATGGTAGACTCCAAAATTGTGATAAGTCAAGTGTAGGAACTTCAATTTCTACTTCATGACATATATGTAAAAAAATATGAAATTGAGTGAATCCTTCCAAGTTGCAGCCATCATTAGGAAACTTCCTCCTATGTGGAGAGATTTCAAGAAATATTTCAAACACAAATGCAAAGAGATGAACTTGGAGAAATTGATAGTCCGTTTGAGGATTGAGAAAGACAATAGGAACATTGAAAGAAAGTCTACTTTTCAATTTGGAGTAAACTTTGTTGAAACTAGTTCAAAGATAGTCAATAAGAAACGCAAGATCTTTGGTATTGCACTAAGAAGAGACTACTCCAAGAATGCCAAGAAATTTAAAAGACAACTATTACAATTGTGAAAAAGTCGGACACCACTCAAATGAATGTCGAAAGCCAAAGAAAACTGTACAGGCAAATATGGTTGAAAGAGACATCCTTTCTGAAGGAGTTCTAGAGATGAGTCTATCAACAGTTGCGTCTGAATGTAACATGGTTGGTAATTCAAGGAATAGGTGGGTTGACACTGGTGCTACCTACTATATTTGTACAGATAAAAGCATATTCTCAAACTATCATAAAATGAAAGGAGAAGAATTGTTCATGGGGAATTCTGCAAGTTCGAAGGTTGAAGGACTTGAAAAGATCAAATTGAAAATGACTTCTAGGAAAGAACTAGTCCTCAATAATGTGCTCCATGTCCCAAACATTCCCAAGAACCTGGTTTCAGGGTCCCTACTTAACAAGAACAGTTTCAAACTTATATTTGTATGAGACAAGTTTGTACTTACCAAGAATGATATGTATATTGATAAGGGTTATCCATGTGAAGAAATGTTCAAAATAAACATTCTAACAATTGCACCAAAAAGCATTATGAATAAAAATTCTAATTCAGTTTATATGCTTAAGTTGTATTTTTTATGACATAGTCGATGAGGACACGTTAACTACAAATCTTTGCGTAAACTAATGAATCAAAGTTTAATTCCGATGTTTAAGATTGATCCTAACCATAAGTGTGAAGTATGTGTTAGCAAAGTTGGCCAAAACACTTTTTCACTTGGTTCAAATGAACACTAAACTTTTAGACTTAATAAATAATGATAAATGTGATTTAAAATTTGTTCAAACTAAAGGGGTAAGAAATACTTTATGACTTTCATTGATAATTGTACAAAGTATTATTAGTCTTTCCACTATGAAGTAAAGACAAAGTCTTAGATGTATTCAAACATTATAAGACAAAAATTGAGAATCAATTTGGTAAACGAATAAAGAATGTTCATAATGATAGAGGTTGTGAATACGGGGCACCGTTTGAAGATTATTGTTCCGAGAATGGAATTATTCATCAAACAATGACACCTAACTTACCTCAATAGAATGGTATTGTTGAACGCAAAAATAAAACTTTTAAAGAGATGATAAACACAATGTTGATAAATTTGGGTGTACCCCACAACTTGTGGGAGAAAGCTATTCTATCGACAAATAGCGTTCTTAACAAGATACCTCTCAAGAAAATGAAAGAAACTCCATAAGCATTATGGAAATGTCTTCGTCTTTCCTACTAGCACTTGAAGTGTAAGAATGTTTAGCTAAGGTTGAAGTAATTAAGCCTAAACAAGTTAAAATCAGTCTTAAGATGATTGATTACATATTTATTGAACAAGCCAATAATACTAGTGCATATCACTTCCTGGTACATTAATCTGAAATTCAAGATGTACCTGTAGGAATCATAACTGAATCAAGAGTTATATCATTCTTCGAGAATTTTTTTTCCTTGTAAAAATAATGAAAATGTAAGTTCAAATAAGAGAACTTATGATATTACAAGTGGACTTCAAATGAGGAAGAAACAAGCATAGTAAAAGAGCTAGACTATCTACTTCGTTTGATTCAGATTTTCAAACTTATATGGTAGAAAATAACCTAAAGACTTTTGATGAAGCAATGTCTATACACTGGAAATGCCGCATTGGAAAAAAA